GGAATTCAGGACAGATGATCCCTTCAGGACCAGTAGTGAGAGTGGCGATACCAGAAGGGTAAGGGGATGGTGTGGGGAGAAAGGGGGAACGCCCTCCCTGGGGGACAAACAGAAAAGTGGGTGAAGGGAGACATCAGTCAGTGTAAGACATGAAAAAATACTAACAATTTATAAATTATCAAGGGTTCGTAGGGAAGGGAAAATGAGGAGCTGATACCAAGAGCACCAAGTAGAAAGAAAATGTTTTGAAAATGATGATGGCAACAAATGTACTTAACCCAACAGATGTATGTATGTATGGATTGTGATGAGTTGTACGAACCCCCAATAAAATGATAAATAAAAGGACCCTCGAAATGTTAAACATCCAGAGCTGAAAAGAGAAATAGGAAAAACAACTCTAAGAAACTTCAATATAGCACTCTACAGGAATGGCAGACCACCAAGAAAGAGACTCAGGAAAGAATCTCCTAGTTTACACAGAACACGCTACCCAACAGCAACACCGCACACATTCTTTTCCAGTACATATGGGGCATTCCCCAGAACAGATCACACTTTAACACACACTGTAAACCTTGCTACATTTTAAAACATCGAGATATGACCATTTTCTTATATTACACTATTAAATTAGAAACCAACAGGAAGAATATGAAGGGAAAAAATCCAAAAACATAAAAGTCAAATAACACTGCTTAAAAATCACTGGGTAATTGGTGAAATAAGAAACGAAATAGAAAAATCCCTTGCAATAAGCAAGTGAAAATACAACATACCAGAATCTTCGGGGCACAAAAAAGCAAAACTCCAAACACATTTTATACTAACAAATGTAAACATCACAAGGGAAGAAAAAGCCAAAACCAACACTTTAACCCATTCAATCTATTAGAATAAGAGCAGCAAAATAAACTTCCAGCTACCAGAAGAAACTAACAATCACAACAGAAATAAATGAATTAGAAAGCAGAAAACCAGAATAGGGCAGAAAGTTGGTTTTTGAAAGAACTAACAAAAGTGACAAACCACTAGCAAATTTCTCAGGTAAGACATGAAATGCGTTATATCACAACAGGACTAACTGAAACTCTAAAAAGACAGAACAGTATTATGAAGAACTGTACTCTAACAAATTTGAAAACCTAAAAGAAACGGACAAATTTCTAGAAACAACCTACCCAAACTATGATAAACTGATCATGAAAACCTAAAAAAAAACCCCAAAAACAAACAAATAGAAGAAAACCCCAACAGACCGATAAGTAGAAATAGATGAGGTTATTGAAAAGCTCCCAACAAATAAAAATAGTCCAGCTTCCCAGCAGAATTCTACCAAACAGTCAGAAAGGAGTTGACATCAATTTTACTCAAATTATTCCAGAATATTTTTTAATTAAGAAAAAATGTTAAATAATGTTAAAATTAATACATATAGAGAGGTCACAGCCTTAAAAAGCCTTTAGATCCCTTACCCAACTGACCTAAACACTAAATGGCTATAAATGTAGAAAAAAAGTGAAACTGATTTAAACTCTTTTATGACACACAAGCTAGTTTTAAACAAACAAAAAGATTAAAACCAGCAGAATCTAAAACTCAATTTATAAAACTAGCATAACCCTGATACTAAAACCAGGCAGAGACATTAGCAGAATAATAAATTATAGTCCAATATTCAATTGGTTCATAACATACATGTAAAAATTCTCAACAAAACAACTTATCCAATACAATCCAACAAAAGAAAACAAAATAAATCACAATCAAGTGGGATTCATAACAGGTTGCAAGGGAGATTCAATCAACATTAGAAAAACAATGAAGTCTACCACATAAGTAAAACAAAGAAAAAGAACTACATAATCATGTCAATTGATACGGAAAAGACCTTTGACATATCTGACATGCACCCTGACAAAAGCACTCAAGGAAATACAAACAGAAGGGAATCATCAACACAATAAAGGCAAAATCACCGGGGAGAATGTGAAACAATTCCTGTGAATGGAAACCAGACAAGGATAACCTTTATCAACACTCCAATATCATGACGTGAATCTTAACCATCACATACAAATATCCATTTTTAGGACATTCCAATCATGGAGTGGCTGCTGGGGATGAAGCTCAGACCTGTCTTTAACAGTCCACTGTTTACCCTATCGAGCCATCAATGCCCCATCAACCAAATAATAGGAAACAAGAGGTCTCTTGGCCATCTCCCCCAGGCTCCACTTTGATACTAATGGAAAGCTGTACCTGATCATCTGAAACCACTAAAAAGGAGAGGGCATGGAGGAACATAGAGCAATGCAGAACTTATTTTTATCTTCAACAGAATTAGAATTAACTAATATAAAAGTTCTGCCTCAAATCATCAGGTTTGTGTTTATTTAGGTAATTCTAAGACTGTGATAATTGCTAAATAATAAATAATTGCTAACTCAAATGGAAATGTCAGAGATATGAGATTTAATCTATCCCAGAGACTATTTTTCTACTAGTTCATGGTTTCATTAAGTCAACTTAAAAAAAAGAGAAAAATTGAGGGTTTTCTCTATAAACTTACCCTTCGTGGGCTGCTGGTGCACAGGGAGAAGCTTCAACTCCTTGAATTGGGGTTAAGTGATTGTGAAACACTGAAAGCGTTTCCTCTTGAGCTAGATCTTTTGTTCCTGCATCTTTTAAAGGGCCTATGTATCAAAGATAAGAATACTTTCATATTCTGTATTCGAAATGTTTATAGAGATTACTCATTAACTTGGACTATCATTTTAATGTTCTTGGATCTATTTTTTTGTTGTTGCTCTTTAACGTTTAGTTTTAGTCCCTTGGCATCACCCTGTCAGGAGAGCTCCATTTCCTATTTCTCTTTAGTCTAGCTCAAGAGACTGCCATCACTTGCACTTTGGATCAATGCGCACTGTTCCAAGTGCTTTACATGCAGTCATTCACTCCTCATCTAAAGGACCAGACTTCTATTACCCTCATTCTACAGAGGAGAGGACTGAGCTTATGTTGTTTGAATATCACAAAGCTAGTAACTGAACTAGTATTGAAATCTAGAGTTAGTACTACACATAGAAAAAAGCTCTAAAAAGTTGCTGGAAAAACTGAATCAAAAGAAAAGGATTTTCCCACAAATTTTTTGAAGCCCCCTTATATAACCCCCCACAAAAATAACAAAAACTTCTATTCAAAACTGCCCAATCATTGTAAAAATACTCAAGAAACACGGCACATCAAAAAAGTAATGTACTTCTCTGGACATATCATTTATGTGCACAATCCTTAAGTTTTTAGAGAAATCAATACCTATGTAATAAAGCTCACTAAACTTACATTTTAAGAAATCTCAATTCAGCCTAGATAAAGAACATTTTTAAAAAGGTACCATTTATGACACAGAAATAAGATTTTGGCTTCCCTCTTCTAGTGTTATCAATTCTATAAATTCTATATCAATTCTATAAATTCCATATTGCACTATAATTGCTTGTTTGTCTAGATAGTCCACTGAACTCCAAATTCCTTGTGGACAGGTACTTTACATTTTGATCCTCAATACCTAGTACCCATGGTTGGTTGGAGCTTACCTGCTACATGTATGTTGGGGGCCTCAAATTTTATATATTAATGAGTATAAAGAAAATAAGTTCATAGGCCTTTGGATATTTATTTCGACTGGCCAGGAATAACTTTTTTGGAGGTGGGTAAGGGTAACGAGATTAGAATAAACATCATAGTTTCTAATTAGTGTTATAGAAAGTTGAGGCTGCTGGATAAGATAAATATGAAATCTACTCTACCACACACCAGTATTATTTCACATAGTGACAGGAAGGCCTTAAAAAGAAAAGGGTAATTAGAAATCAAACTAAGGCACCTTAAATTTCCCACCTTCAACATGATATCCCCCCCAAAATTTCATGGTCAAATAAAAAGAACACACACAAGTACTTCTTTCCCAAATCTTATACCTATTTATAAACCTGTGGAACAATATTCAACTTCCGTACTTGTACTGAAAGAATAGTATACAGTATGAACCAGGCACTTTCTTTATGGTGGAGAAAAATTGTATTAAATATTTTGTGGAAGGGCATCAACATAACTTTGCAAATGAGTTCTTACCAGTTTGCTTCGTTAAGTATGAAGGAGTTACTTCTGACTCAAGCACATCTTTAGCACCTTCCTTCTCACTCGGTTCAGTTAAATTAGTACACAGTTCAGTGGAAGAGCTTGCTGATTTAGCGTCTATGAAAATAACATCTTCAAATTCTTCTGGTGATGGTGCATCCTGATATTCTAAGGTAGCTGGGTCGGATCTCGTTGAAGCAATGCTGTTTTCCTTGCTCATATCCAATTTATCCAAACTTTGAGATGGTGTAGCCAGTGATCTCACATCTATTTCTTGATGATCCATCTCAAGATTATTCAAAGAAAAAGATGTGGTTTTATCCTTGCTCTTCAGCCATTCAGCATCTACTGGAACTTCACATTTATGGTAAAGTGTTTTGTTGTCTTCTGTAGCCTGTTAAGTAAAAGATTTGGAAAAGACATTAAAAAAATTTTTTTTTTACAAATTGGGTTTAGTTTTATAGCTATTCATCCCTAACCATACCCTCCCTCCTTTCTATACTGCCTATTCCTCATAAAAATTAACTTACTTTAAATCTATTCCTTTCATATATGATTAAAAGTTAATGGTTGTTACTGCTTCCCTAATTGGCAAAAGACCAGTGTTTTAAAAAGACTCAGACATGTAAGGAGCAAGAACACCGACAGGCACTACATAGCCTACTCATCTACAGCTTTTAAGGTGCTCTGAAGGCATGTCTTAAATAGCTAACAACAAACACACCATGATGAGATAAATAATACAATATATGTTAAAAACAAAATCAAACACTAAAAATCAACCTCCCCAACCAAACCCACCATCACTGAGTTGATTCTGACTGTAAACTGGGTTTCAGAGACTGTAAACCACGAATTCTTCTCCTGAGGAGTAAGCCGCCGAGTTTGAACCATTCATTAACCTTGGTGTTAGCCGTCCAACACCTAATTCACAGAACCTTTATGGTTCCTTAGATGAAGAATTAAGAGGCTTCTATTTTAGTTCCAGTTTTGCCACCAAATAGCAATCTTACTGTAAGCAACTCACGTGGCGCTTCTGAGCTCTATTTCCTTTACCTGTAAATTGATGGGTTTGTCTCAACCAGGATCTATACCTGCCAAATTTAGTATTTTCTAATAAAAAACCATCTACAATATTGCATAACAAAAAAATTTACAAAGGTATTATTTTAATTGATTTATCTAATCCCCATCTACTTGTTTGCTTTTTGCTAGGAATTAATACATTTTGAACACCAGAGAAATATAAGATACATTTAATATTCTTTCCTTTTAAATAATGATTATTAAATTTCCCCCCCCCAAAATTTTAATGTTCCACAATATGGCACATAGAATATAGTTTCTCAGCATTTACAGCCACTAAATTATTCTTGCAACCAAGAGCCTGCACACCGAGTATTTAAGAAATGTTTCGCTGTATCTTCACTGGGTTGACTCTACCACTCTAAGTCCTTAAGCTTTCCTTCTTCTCTAGTACTTCTTGAGCAATAAAGGTTTATCTCCTCTTTAGCGCCTCATTTTAAGCGTGAAGCTATTTCAT